ATAATCTTAAAAGATTCCTCTGCCTGTGATGAGCAGTGGAGCCATGCTCTGATCAGCATCATTTTTTCTTTCCCACGTCAAACAGTTTTGACATTCAAGCATTCTCTGTGTGATCAGGAACAATTTATCATGAGTTTGAAAGTGAACAATATTTCTAGAATACCTGCTTTCCTGTTGATTTTCCAATTACATAAATCCACTTAGTTTTTTCCTTTCTTTAAAAAAATCAGCTATCTTTGAAGTGTAAGGCATCTTATAGCTTCTTACCATCAGTAGAAATTTAAATATTTATATTTCTTCTAATCAGTGGACCGTAGACATAGATCTCCCAGAGCAAAGCAATTCTTTTTCACAGGAAATGTGTTTGCTGTTTTCTGAAGTAATTCAACAAAGACTGAATTCAAAATGAAAACAGCGAATTTCAGATTTGCTGATTAGCAAGTGTTACTTGTTCATTAGGTTGAACCAAAAAACTCTGCAGTAACTGCAGACTTTCTCCCATAGTAACAGCAATACACACAGTAGGGAAAATTACTATATACTTGATTCTCTCAATAAGTTCTTAAAATAAGTTCTGTGTCCTTAAACCTATGTTCAGTGTGAAAGAAAAATAGGTAGATAAGTATCTGAACAGCCACTGTAAATTTTTCCAGCCTTGACCACCAGAATGAACATAGGTGTTTCTTTCTGGAAAATTGGCAAATCCATAAGCAGGTGATGTGTGAAACAAAGTCCAACAAAACTCCTTTCATTTTGTCTCTCTGGGAAATTGTGTTCTAGGGCTGCCTGCTTTGTCACTTCTGTTTCTGTCCATAGAAATTTCTCTTTGTGGATTTTAATTTTTAAAATATTACTCACATTTCTTCTCATTTGTTCATTACTGACAACCTTGTGTTTTCACAGGGTCAATAAAACTTCATTGATTCTTATTCAGACAAGACAACACCTTTCAGCAAACAAACAAGAGCCTTCAAACATGGTTTGAAGTTGAATTTCATACATGAAAAATCCCTTTGTTGTATCAAAGCTCTGTCATTATCACAAAATTGTTTTCCCTTTGCCCTTTGGATTAATTTCAATTTACCAGTACCTACTTTTAAAGCCAAGTGTAGAACATAAAATTAAACAAAACACTGGTGCCAAGTTACTATCCATCAATGCCAATCGTTTAAAATTCTTTTTATCTCAGTTTTCAACTTGATCTGTATGTAAGGCAGCATTACATTACTGATTGCTCTCACTTTTAGAGGAACTGTAAACTCACACCCTGACCACCCACAGTTCCACACCTCCCATCACAACACAGCCAGCATCTTTTCAACCCTGTTCCTTGGTGACCTGCATATCCAAAATACAGCCTGTCACCACAGTCACCAGGCTTTGGGCACATAATGCTTTAGGCAGCGCCACTGTGAAAACACTGTGACTAGAAAGCCCAATAAAACTTGTATTTTGATCATGGTTTGCAACAGAAAATTGAACTGGAATTCTATAGACAACATGTTGCCAAATTCTAAAAGTCATGACAGAGATGACACGGCATTCTCGGAGTGTGGATGCATTTTGGTGGCGGTAAGATGGGGGTTTGTTTGGTGTTTTAAATTTTTTTCTTGAAACATGGGAAAATGAGGAGGGCTGCTGTAAGATTCCACACAGATTTTAACAAAGTCCAGTGGAATGAGATCTCAGTGCCTCTTCTTTTCTTAGCTATTGATGCTTATTTAGATGGTGCTTGTGTCACACTTACAACTCTACCAAACTCTTGGTAGGTCAGCGAAAGACGTACTTTTTTTTTCTGGGATTTAGAAGAATGCTCTTGAATCCTATCTTGGAAGAGCTGTTTTCTTCTCCCCAATTAAATGTATATCGTCATCAAGGAATGCTCTTCAGCATTCAAGGACAGAACTCTTTTCTTTCTTGCTAGCACATTTGATTCACTTTATCATATATTATGTATTAAAATCAAAATATCTTACCATCTGGGTAAGAGTTATAAAAAATATTCTGAAAATGAACAGTGATCCATTTTGCATTTGCAGGGAGCTTTAGTAACTAAAACTTTCCAAAACTACAGGTTTCCCATTTCAGCTACACCTGTGTTCTCCCTGGAAAGCTACCAAGAGCTACAAATCATGAGTTTTGCACAGAGTGTATCTTTTAAAAATGAACTTCCAAAAATTCCAAATTGTAAGGTACCTTCCTATCAGCAATTACACATTGATTAGCTATTTTTAAACCCAACACAATGTAATTATTATTAACTTGATTACCTTTCAATGCCCAATATTTGATTAATGAAAATTCCCAACTCATTTTGTGTATTTGTATACCAATTAGGCTAATAGGTTGTGATCCCTGTGTCAAACCCATTTGAATAAGTTTGCTGTTTGAGCTTTAGCAGATTCTTTCCATGTCTACTAGTTCAGTCAGTAAGATACAGAAAAAACAATGCAACTGATTTGGTCACTGTTCTAAACAAACTCCACTTGCCATGCAAACCTTAATTCTTTATCTGGTTGAAGGACTTTCACTAACATGCTCCATTAAGAATGTTTGTAACAGCTGTATTCAATTTTTTGACACCATCACTATCAATCTGAATTGTTTTCGTTAAACTCATACTGTTTGTTTTAGCTGTAAATAGTTTTTAAATCATTCAAAACAAAAGAGAACATAGATAATGCAACCTTTTCACTGTCACAGATATTAAAAAGGTCATGTTGTGTTTGCAAGCTGTGTGTCTCTATGCTACTGAAAGTGATTTGGCAGCACGGCTTACTTAGGATGTATTTTGTCTTCATTAGACATTTTTAACTGCAAGATAGTTAAATTATTCATTTTGAACATATGCAGGAATTTGGAAGGTAGGTTACAGGATGGCCAAAAGGTCCTGAAGTGGTGTGTTTATCATGAAATTGAGGAAGAGAAAAAAGGAGAATGGCAGTGAAGCTCGTTCAGGTGGATTTGAGAAACAAAGATGTGTATTCCTGAGCAGCAGGCCAGTGATGCAAGGCAGTTCTGGAAAGCAAGCAGGGCCACTGCACAGCGATTGGCATGATCATTGATGTAGATTTAAAATATGTAATTCTTGAAGAATCTATCACACCCCATGCTCTGGCTGACACTGCAGATAGCGCAGCTCCAGAAATTTCCATCATGTGCAATGGGCAGAGCTGGAAGGCTGTGTGGAAGCTGGAGCTACAAATGCCCACACCTTTAATTGGCCTGCCAAGAAAGGAGAAAAGACAAAAGGAGTAAGATAGAAATAAAAATAGACTAGCTATCTGGGGAGACTGTGAGACTTTGCAGGTCATGATTTGAAAGGAACAAAGCCATTGTTCCTTTGCTTTCCTGGATGATGGATGTCTGTGATGCAAAGAGAGTGGCAATGGTGGAGGTAAAACTGTGACCAAAGTCTCCAGCATATTGATACCCATAATATGAATGATTTTTGTAGACTGGGCATCACATTAACAGACATATGAGGAAAAAATGTGCTATATTGAAAACTGAAGCTCTGAAATGTGCAATTAAAATGTCTTTGCCTTTACAGTCCAAATAGCACAATTTTATAATAATTATGTATATTTTAGTGCTGTTAAATTATTTACCTAAAGGAAGGGGAGTAATGGAAACCATGCACTACTGATGCTCCGCAGAAATTCTGGTGTGCAAAGATTAGGTGATGCAATATAGACTTTAAATAAGTATTAGTTCCTAAAATATGTATATTGAAAGACTTACAAGTTCACAATTTAATATTTTAATTTACTGAGAAAATGGAGACAGACAAATTTTTGTCAGTAACAGAACTATCTGAAAAATCCTAATAATTCTCCATTCACCTGAGCTTATTCTATACCATATATTATTTTTATATTTCCTCTTTTAGAAGACAAAATTGATGCCTTTGGCTGATTTTTGAAATGTTATATTATGACAGAATAGTTATCCCAAAATAACAACAGTCTATGACTGAATTAATATTTTATCACAGATATACATAACACATTACAAGTCAAATGACCGACTTAATCTGAGCTATAATGTCACTATCAGTAAAGATGTATAGAGAGATCCTGCATGGTTTTTTTTAAATGCCATGCACAGGCATACATCAAATATAGTTAGTATAATTTCATATAGTAAAAGAATATAATATTGATTACTGGAATTAATGGAATATGTTCTATCCACATGAACATACTGATACTATTTGATTCCAAAACTGGATGACCTTAAAATGGTGAAGTGCTGTTTTAAATTAGACCCATACCCATTGCCGCCTTTCAGGTTTTATCTGGAAGGATCAGCTTTGAAATTATTGAGATTTCTTATGTGTATGTATATGCTTTCATATTTATAGTTAAGGCTATCCAGACAAACATCAAATAGCCTCAGGCATTGACTGAAATTTATACTTTATTGTCCTTGCAAGTCATTATGTTCACGCTTCACCACCACTTTGGGAAGCAAACCCGTAAAATATTTATGCCTGTCCAACTTGCCCTGTGCTATTACAGAACATTATATTAGCATTATGTAATTTTTTAAAAAAGTGTTTAGTCTGATTACAGTTGAACTGTTATTTTGACTTGCTATGTTCTAATGGTGTGTTTGTTAATTTACAAGAACAGCTTCCATTTCATTGCTCCCAAATACTTCAAAGATAACCATTAGTTCAAGTAAAAACAATTCTAGAATTTGAAACCTTCTAAAAGGTTCTATTAAGTCAGTGCACGACTTGCAAAAGAGCTTCCCATTTCCTTCCCACACTGTGCAATCACACATGTTTACATCTCTGAAGTTATCATCTTATCCCCTTCTCTTTGGCAGCCGTGAAGTAGATTGCACATTTGATCTCACTGCAGATAATTGTCATTCCCAACAGATACTGACATATGAACCTTTTCAAAGAAGTTATGTTTGTGGTTTCTCTCATTAAAAAGAAAAAAAAAAATTTAAATTAAAGCCAAGGCATTAATGACACTGACCACACCTCACAATAACATTACCTTTTATTAGAGATCTTATTTTACATATCCCCATAAGATATAAAACCTTCCAAGAGAAAATATCAATTCAGCTGAAATTAATTTGTTTCAGATAATATGAGCAAGTAAACAAAAGAAAATTAAGATAAAGGAATGTAAAAAAACCCCAAACCATAAAATCAGAACAAGTACAACTCTTGTATGGAAAGTAATTACAAGGTTTTAAACCATTTCTTACACAGCACTGTACTTAAAATCATACTGGCAAGGTAAAGATGCTTGCTTCTCTTAACCAATAGCTACAAACCCAGCAGCTATAAAAACAGGAAAAAACCCAAAATAAAACCCAAAATAATATAATTTAATGATATAGCCAATTCACAAAAAAACAAAAAAACAAAAAAACACAAAAAAAAACCCCAGTAAAATAATTCAGTAAGATTTGCGCAAAACAAAAATCCAACAAAAACCCAAACCATGGAAAACGCAACTTCATTGGCAGCAACATTCTGACCCAATTCAAGCAAAATCCTTTTTGAGACTTTGACTGGAGTTTTGATTTAGTGAGGGATTTCAGGAAAGGATCTTGAATTAAAAGTTGTCATTACACAAAAAAAAAAAAACAAAAAAAAAAAAACCAAAAAAAAACAAAAAAAAAACCAGGAACAAGGGTTGCATCTGCTGGTTAAGGAAGATCCAGGCACCATGATTGTACAGTTGATGATAAAAGTAAAGAATCATTGCTATATGAAGAATCTTTCAAAGCAATTCCAAGAGGCAAAATACTTTAAAATTTTATTGCATCAAAATTTTTCTTTTATGCCTAGCAAAACTGAAACTGTATTTTGAATGTTTTCCTGCACAGAACACATAAAAGTATCTTAAACATTTTAATTCTGAAGAAGCAACAAAATGAGTGATATGAGAAATTTCTGCTGGCAAGTCTACTAAACTTTGAGTTCCAACAAAAAACAGCATTTTCAAATACTTTTTCTAAGAAGTTACAGTACATGTTTATTGCATGAAAATATCCATTGATTGGATTTATCTGATTCTTCTATTTGTGGTTAGTGGTTCCTATATTCTTGATGTAATTTGCACCAGATCCTACTAAACTATTCCCATTATTACAAAACACACAGTAGATTGAATTAAGAAAACCTATACAATCTCAACAGAGATCCAAACTGTGACAATGCATAAATCTAATTATGACTTTCACTTTCATTTTAGATAGCCTGTAGCTACATGAAATAATTTGATAGACTTTGATATTTAATATAATTGTTGAACAACAATGATGAAATTAAATACAGGAGGCAATATTAGAATTAGCACATCTTTTTTTACCAGTTATGATGATTTTTCATGCATTAGTATTGAGGATAAGCAACAGGGTATGGAAAAGTAGAGCATAAGCGAGAGATAGAAGAACAAGCTATGAAAATAAATGACGACTATAAAATGGGATCATACTCAAATGAATGTTTATATATATTAACTGTAAATAGCAGCTCTACTTAGAGAAATACTTTCCACACTTGGATGGCTTAAGTACTAACTATTAATTAATATGGGAAAAAGTAAAGTCTCCATTCTTCAGTAACATGAACACTGGCAATATAAGTGAGGTTGCAAGTTTGTAAAATGTTGTTTAAAATATAGGCACATGATTTGGAATTAACAGGTCACCACAGTCTGTGACATGCAAGAACATGTTTTGATGGGTTTGCAAACTATACCTTGCTTAATATCAACTCTTTGAATCAAGTTGCAATTTTCTTGAAAGCAGCTGAATTTAGCTTCTACAGTAATTCTTTTCTTGTTGGTGTTTCATGTAATGACATCGTATTAATACATTCAAATAGTCAAAATGTTCAGAATAAGGTAGCACAAACTTGGTGCAGGAGTACATAGATCAGTGTGGCCAGCATTGTCAAATAGGAGATACACAGCTTAAGTATTACATAAACTACCTTTTCCCCAAAAACATTAACATAGACACCAAAATTGTAACAAGACATATCAAAAATAAGGCACATTTATTTTGATATGGTAATCTTGAAATAGAAAACTCATTTCAGAGAACACTGGTATCTAAATGAGTTTTATAAAAAATCTTGTATTCATGATAATTATGGACATTTCTCATTATGGTAATGGAATAATTGCACATATCCCAGTGTGTCAAGTAACAAAATGGGAGTTTTATTAAACGTTTCCTTTGCAAAATTACTTTGTAGGTTCAGGTTTTTCTATTTACATAACTCAGGTGAATGGTAGAAGTATTAAAATCTACCATCACTTATCACAAGTACTGCAGGCTTTCATTTCACCACAATTAATAATCCCCTTTGTGTTGAATAAACTGAAATTAATTGCAGAATAAATTGAGATTATTGTCATTTATATAAATGATTGCAAATATTTGGACATTAGCTACTACACAGGAACATTTTATTCCATTTTATTTCCAAGCTGCATCAGGACTTTCTACACTGAGTTATTAACATATAAATTCATCAAGAATCAGGAAAAGAAGGCTGTTTAAAATCTAATCCCCTGTTTATGAAAATTAAAACACCAGAAACATCATTAATTAGCATTTAACCTGAGATTTAATCTGTTGAGAGGTTAACATCCATAGAAATTTCTTGTTGCATTAACTGATAATGATGTTGCTATTTTATGGGGGAAAAATCTGAACAAAGAAGAAAGTTGCTTGCAACATGGCTTTTCATTTGTGTTGGTCAAAAAAAAATTATAGAATGCATCTTTTTCTCACAGTATCCAGAAGCTGGAATAACATTAATGTGCCTCTTATTGCACATGAAACTCAGAGGAGATACAATTGCAGATTCTGAGTATTAAAGCAGGATTTCATCTCAGTCGAATCCGGAATGTATTTATCTCCATAGAACTCATGTTTATTTCACTTATATTTTGGACATCTGGAGGTGAATGCATCAAAGATAAAGATGTGGGTGTAAGACTTTCCACTCTGAATTTGCTAAAAAGTTTATGAACCTTTATCTGGAGGAAAAAAACAAAACAAAACAAAACAAAAAAACAACATTTAGAAAAAGCAGTAAATACCTCAAAATTGTACAGCTCCTTTCAGGAATCAGAAATTCTCATGCTAAAGATTTTGAACCTTTTTAAATGCCATAGATTAAACACTGTACAATAATTTAGATCTTTTTAGACAGATTCACCCACTATGTTTCAATGTAATTTAATTAGTATTTTCAAAATTACTAGAAATATTTGGATTTGAACTCTTCTCGTTTCCAAATAAAATTACATTTACTCTTCCACCCAAAAGAAAATCCAAAACCTATTTTAAAATTTTATTTAAAAATTTCTACAGATTAATAACCATACCTTTCCCTGAGTGGTAGAACAGAGCAGACCCGTGTCTCTGTTTGAAAATCTACAATCAAATCCCTTTCTGTGAAGAATCAGAGCAGCTTCATCAGATGGTTTGGTATCTACCTACAAACAAACACTATAGAAGATTACTCACAAACTATCAGTCAGGAAGACATTTTAGGGCACCAAAAATTATCCTTATCATATAGCGGATAGAGACATTTTCACCTTAAAAATTGTTCAGTCTAGATTGAACTATCATGTCTTTTCAAAAATTTTTTATAAAGCTAAACATAGAAGTAAATGGCAAAGAGTAAAAACATATAATGTACTACAGAATATAAATATAAGTCACTGAATTTAAAGGTCAACAGATGCACATGTACTCATGATTTAGGACTGAAGTGTAGCTATCATACCTGTATTAAATGTTTTCCCATAAAAATTATATGGCAAAACAGGAAAAAAAGAAAAATACATTAAATGCAGTACTCAGTTTTAAATATTCAATGACAATATATTGAACAAACTTTCATGTAGCAAAACTGCTCTCTAACTCAGCTTAAGGTGTATATAAAAAGGTACACTGAAATACACATCTGAAATAAATTTTATGTTTATCTCTAAGATATTCAATGCTTTTGAGTCTCAAGAGACATTAAAGAGTAACCTGCTCCTTACTGGATTTGTGCTCCCGACCCTTCTCCAACTCCATTGCCCTCCCCTGGACATGTTCCAGCCCCTCAATATCTTTCTTGTGGCTGCACACCTATACTCACTGGAGTCACTTATTTAATATGATGCATTGCTTTGTTTCTTTATTTATTGCTGCTTTACATTCTTCAGCTCTTAATCTTATATATATATATAATAAGAGCATAAAACAAATGGTTCTATCCAAAGTAATGCCAGTTCTTCAGGCTATTTTTTCTTTAATTTATTTCTGGTTTACTTGTTCTTATACCAATATTTATACTAAATTCATAGTACAAAGGTATCATACATATAATAAAAAAAAATTATAAACTTTGTGGGCTTAGGTTCCTCACTTAAAATAACAAAAATTTACTCAATCGTATTTGGAGTTGAAATTAGATACTTGCTTAGTAAAACACTAACAGTTGTTTTCAGTTGTAACAGAAACTTTGCATAGTTTACAAATCACAAAAAATCTCAGCTTGAAATGATTTTGTGAACTATAGCTTATAACCACCTAAAATCAACTTTTTAATTTATGAATAGCGCCAGCATTCAGCATATGAAACCAAGTTTCTGGTATTTATTAACATTGATGGCTAAAGAAGTTCTTATCCTGTTCACTGGGACAGCAGTACCACTTTCTACATGAAGTAAGGTAATAACTGTGATATTTTCCCTCTCCTACAATGAAACACCTGACTTGGTTTTCATTGTCACTGATCTGACAGTGTTGCGCTTAAAAGTAGATATTTTTATGCGCACAAAATAATACTGTCTGCTTAAACATCAGATTAGTGAAACATTAAAATTCATACTGAAAAAGCCTGACTTCCTATGGGGTAAATTAATGTTAGAAAAGACAAGCCAGTAATGGGTATCAACACTTCCTCTAATTCACTTAAATTATCTTCTAGTAATCTGCATAAAAAATGCATGTATGCATTTCAAATGATGACATGAATATTTCATCTCCCAATTTTTTAGAATTAAATATTATCCTTATTAAGATTCAAAAGATTCAAAACAAAAAGGTAACACACAATTAAAGATACCCAGAGTAAAACTGTTTTGGTCAGTATAAATATCTATGATTTAGTAATCCATCTGCTACCATGCACATAGTAACCCTGCATAAAAATAATAAAGCTGTTCTAACCCATTATCAAATCAGGTGAAAGATTAAGTTGTCACAGTCTCCATATCTCCTTTAATTTACCTGTTCTTATATAATCTCTAGGAAAATTAGATTAAATACATTTTAAGGTTAATGCATGTCTGAGCAAGGATGAACTTAATTTACACCAAATACACCTTCTAAACATGATCATGCTAACTGCATGAAAACCTGTAACAATCTCCTCAATTTTCCAAAAGTTACAACATTCTTAACCTTGTAAAACTTCACAGCACTGTTATTCAACAAAAAAGTCCTAAACACTGTATTATTAAATCTCTAACAAACTTTCTTAGAAGAGCTGCCAAAGTTTGATTTGGTTTTGAACTCTGAGAATTAAAATGTGACCTTATAAGAAAAATTTAAAAAAAATTTGTTAGGCTTTCTCATAACCAGTATCCCAGGGCAATGCTGCTAAAATTTTGATGAAAAAGAAAAAACATTTAAACTCTTTTAAGATTCAATTACTGTAAGCTAACAGACTCATGCTGAAAAGTTTAGGCAATATGGCAAATGTATGTATTTATGCTTAGTATAAAGGAAAAAGTCTACTGTGTTCCAGATCTTCATTTACATAAGATAAAATACGTGTCTTCTGAAAAGTTGGAGTTTTGTTAAGGAAAAAAAATCTTTAAATGTTGTAATCATAATGGACTGGACTCATCCATGCCAAGATGAGACACCTTACAACAAAACCAATATTCTTTCTGATTTCTACCTTAAATTTTAACAGCTATTTTAATTTGGTACTCTCTTATCTGTAATTGTAATGGATTATGGAAAATCAACTTCAACATTTTAAGCAATGGAGAGGAGCAAGTTTCTGGAAAAAAAATTCATTGTGTCAATTAGCCAGAATAATGTCACTTGTCATTCAAATTCTTGGAAGCAAGAGAAAGGAAGCAGAACATGAGGAGAGATTTACAGAATTATTTGCAAGGCATAGTGCGATTTTTGCTGTGGGGAAGAACATTCTGTATCTCTAATGACAGTGTTCCTATCCTAAGACTGCTGCAAGCTCTCACTTTGAAGTGGACACATTAATGCTGCAAGCTCAAGAGGTGTAGATCAGTAATCAATGGAACATACAGCTGTGGACAGGGAAGAGATCACAGCCTCTAACAGTCCTATATCACTTGGGACAGTGGGGCCTGAAAAGCCCAGATAAAAACAGAAGATTCACTTAGAAGTAGTAACATTGAATTCAAAAAGCAGACACTGAGCGAGCCTTTTTCACAGTTTTCATACACTGATCCTACAAACAAGGGGATGGATTTACACCTCAGAAAGAGAGGGATAGATGTTCATGAAGCTCTGGCCCTGAACTTGATATGTTGAAGTAAACCTGTAATGCTGAGCTTGTTGAAGTAAATGAAGTAAATATACACAGTGAAGACTGAAAAATTCACATCACTTGAAGATTTAATTTAGTATCAGTGTCTTCCTAACTTTTCAAAGGCACAAGACCCACAAAATCAAGACATTTTTGACTTTGAAATTCAAAATAAGAATCAGTCACAGCTGAAAGGGCTTACACAAGATTGAACTATTTACAGAGAAAGCAAACATTGTTTAAATTTTAAAATACAGATTAAGACAGAATGAAGATCAAATTAAACAGAATATAATCTCATGTTAATACAGACAAGCCCAGCTATCATGAAGACTCTAGAGGAAAAGGGATAAATAGTTTGTAAGTTTCTAAGTATGGCAGAATTAAAGAGTGATTGCAGTGTGGTAGCGCAACTGGTGAATACCACTGCAATACAACATAAAGTTAACATAATCACATTTTAAAAGGAGCTGAAAAACTTAAAATAATTTATAGAACAGTTGGCAGGAAAAGAATGCAAAATGAGTTCCAGTCCTTCAGTTAATCAAAGGGAAAATTAAATTCTGGTGGTTACATACCTTTCTTTCCTTTGAAGGAGGAAAACACTGAGTACAGAAAAGACTTTTTTGTTTTAATTTTTGTTAGTATTTTGTTTGTTGATTTGGGGTTTTTTTGGTGTTGGCTAGATGTTTGGGGTTTGTTTGGTTGGTTTGGTTTTGGTTTGCCTACCAAAGAATGCTTTCACAGGAACCAATCATGAGATGCTGTTAGAATAACTAAATTAGATATTGTAACTAAGCTTAAAAAACAATAACATTTGGGTTTAAAACTATATTCTTTATTAAAAACATAATCAGAACAAACTCTAATGACCTTAATTTAATTCTTCTAGTACAGATAAGACCAAGATATATAAACGGTTCTCTCTTAAACTTTGGGAACTCATTGAAAGGTACCCCCTCCTGAGAGAGAATCTTGCATTATGCATACTAATATGTTGTGAAAAAACACAGTCTTGTCATTTCTTGTTACTTAGACACAAGTCTCCAGTTTTTGCAAAATTAAGAAAAGCTCATAATCACACTGCACTATATCATATAGAACTGCACACAACGTACTTTACAAGAATTAATTATTTTACTATATCAGTAAGCTATATCATATGTTTGCAAAAACCAGTGGTTTGACCTTACCTTTGCTTGGATTGTCCTCAAATTGACTATATGCATGTCACAAGGCATGGATGACATCAATGGAGAAAAAGTATTTATCAACTCTGGGACACCTGAATCTGCATTCGTTGTCATTGGAATTACAGGATGATTTAAGAAGAGAGAAGTCATATGGCTAAGAAGTGATGGAAAACTGACTGGTGCCTTCTCTTCATTCTGCAAAATAAAAAAGAATTATTCAAGTTAACATACGATTATGTCTAAATTTTGAAACCCACTTATTTTATACATGATTCCAATAATTGCATAAAAAATTTTAATTTCTAGACAGCCCATTCAATTACTTTTGGAAAATGTTGATCATCCATTCATTTTCTTCTATTGATAGGTATACTTCCTGGGTTTTAGAAACAATAATATTTCAAAATTATGATGACATCTAATTTTTCAACATTCCTTGTGTTTCTGTGTTAGGCCTTGATGTTTGAACAACACAGGCTGGAAAAAAGAAATTAGTTACTACTTTAGCAAGTTGCTCCAACTTATTAGGTATCTCTTTTTATATGGAGAGGCAGACAGCTTTTTCTACATTAGGAAAGGCAGGCCTCCTTTTCCACATTATTTTCTGACCTGTATTTCTTGCCTTCTCCAACCTGTATCCCAAATCCCTCTTTCTATTTTAAATCTATTTCTCTCAAACTATTCACTGGAAGAAATGGTAGCTACCATCTTTGCTTTGGTCTTCATTGCAAAAGATTTCTTCCAGAAATTTTATTTCAATGTCATGACAGCAGGAACCAAAGGTATTTTATCCCAATATTTTACAAATTCTGTACTTTCCAAAGTTTCATGTTTGCAGTGTTTTTACTTGGCTAGAGGCTGTCTTACAAACCTGACATGACCAAATCTTATATATTCACAACAACTATTTAATGCCCCAGAGAAGCCAAAAAGTGAAAACAAAATAACTTTAAAAAGGCAGTTTCTATTTTAGAATGTCAATAAAGATAAGAGTAGAAATGGAAGTGAAAAGTTCTTTTGCTCTTATTTTTCCCTTGCATACTTTATCAGATAAATCCCTACTTGTTGGTGATATTTAGTGAAAACTTTGCAGAAAGTTTATTGAAAATATAGTATCTTAAGCACTGTTACATTACATTTGCATTTTATGGAAGGCTGGAAATACAGAAATAAAAAACAAATGGGAGACACTTAAAGCAAAGGGGAAGATTATTTTTCAGCTTATAACAGAAAACCATAACAGTAATTTCTATCTTGGGGTGTGTTTTCATGTATGCATATTTATTTATATTTCTGCAGTAGCACAAAATACAGCTGACAGTGAAGAACCTGAAAATATTCCAGGCCTGAAACAAGAAAAGATGGTAATTTCTGTTTCATACTTAGTGCTTTCCTAAATAATAAGTAACACTCTGTCTGTTTGGTATCTACTAAGCATTAAGGCTTAGTATTTTTAAGAATCTATTATGACCCCCAAATGATAACAGTGGATCATTGTAAAGGATTATTCCTCCATGTGTCTCATTGCATTTATTTCTATTGAATTCCATCTGTCATCTTATGGCATCTTTAATCAGTATTGAGTCTTCTAATCCCTCAATTTAGCCTTGATTTTTTTTTCATTACCTTGAAAAGTTCGGTATCACTGGTAGACTTCATTGCCATGATTTTCTTCTCTTCTAATTACAGTATGAGCAAGCTTGCTCTATGCACAGCTTAATATAAAAGTCTTCCATTCAAGTGCCTGAATACATGCTCTATACATAGGGAAAATGTGCAGATCCATGTTCTTTCAAGGAAGAGTTTATTTTTTCACTCCAAAAAGAAACACTGTTCACTCTGTTGCCATAGAAGTACTAAAGTCAGTCAAAACATTTAATTGCCATTTATTTTCTCATCTTTCACCTTTTTTCCCCATGCAAAGTAAGATGATTGCTTGCATCTGAGAACTTAAAATGAGGTCTTCTAAAATATCTTATAAATCACACATGAATCAGAAAAATAATCTATTCATCCCCTTTATACTCTTTTAAACAAAATATTGCAGATAAGCACAGCCTTGAAGGACTGGCAAATGCTAAATCCAGAACTGATTCAACTTGGTTCATTTTTGCTCTCACTGTGTTTAGATGTGATATCACAGGCAGGAACATTGTCCTTATGCATTATCCACTTTGGAACTAAGCCTTAGGTGGAGAATTTATATTGAATCTTGTATTCCCACATCTGGAATGGCAGTCAATTTTGAATGGTTGCACCAGCAGAAAATGTGCAGTCATTCCCTGAATCCGTGCAACAGCAATGGGAATGAAGCATAAAAAAGGTGTCAAAAACTGCCAGGAAACCAAGGGCAAAAGGGTTTTGCAAGCATGGTGAAGATAATGCTTCCACAGAAGACTAAGAAAGGACTCTTCAAATCTCCCCTAGGTACATCACTATCATGCAGGGGTTGGAGTACGTCTTTTCCCTCAAGTCTAGTGATTCAGAATTTAAAGAGGACTGTCTGGACAAAGAGATGAGAAGGGTTTGCACATGAACAATGTAATGGAAAGAATATTTACTCTATGCAAAACTTCACCATGTGGATGGCTTTCAGCAGTACCCTGCTGATGCTGCATCAGAAGATGTAGTTCCACAGTCTCCATCTAATGAAAGTATTGCTCTCTCAAGAGTGACATCATTTCCTCAATTTTCATGGCAGCATTTATCACTCAAAGTGCTAGTGGAGGTCCTCTGGCTGCCTTACAAACATTAAGTACTGGCAAGAATCTGATGAATGCCAGATGATGATATGCTGGCTTAATGAGCTCAAATCAAAGCAAATCCTGCCTTTTAAACCATATTGCAGTACATCCACACACAGTTATCCAATTGGAAACTGTGCTGAAACACAACCCCTTGAATGACTGTGCAGTAAACATAAATGGAGTTTCATTTAGGATTGTCCCTTGTTATCAAAAGTAAGGTGAATAATTCTAAATTTTCAGTTTTGAGGAGACAGAAACCATGATCCAATATAATATTGGAGCACAATTTGCAACAAGTTTTCAGAATAGCTTAATCTATAAAAAGTGCCTTTATATCAGAAATGAGCTATTTTATTGATACTCACAGAAATAAATGAAAGGCTTGGGTTGGAAAGGAACTTAAAGGTCAACTTGTTCCAACACCTCTGCCACAGGCAGGGATGCCACCCACCACAACAGGTTACTCAGGGTTCCATCCAACCTGGCCTTGAACACTTTCAGGGATGGCGGACAGGGACGTATCTGATTTTTAATTATGCCTATATGTTTAATATATGAATTGAAGGATTCCTATAGGGGCTGGCAGCCCTGTCCCAGGGGAGGCTTTTCCTGGCAGCTGGTCAGGGGAGAGAAGCTTCCATGACTGGGCTCTGAGCGATCCCTCACCAATTGCCAGTAAGGCAGATGCCCATAAGCCTGGGAAAAAACACCTGGGAAATCAGGCTGTGGGACCAAGTTCAGCACATAAAAGCGGGCAATGCGACATAAGGGGACACTGGACTTCTTGGAGGGATCAGGGATTCGCTCAGAGGGTCGGCTTGACCACCCCTACTCCCCCACCTTTTCCGCCCTGTCAATGGCTTCCCTGTCCGCACCTTCTCTGCCCTGACTTTGTTGGAACTCAAAATGTCCCTCAGACATTTTTGGATGTCCCAGGCCCAGGTCAGAAGCCTGAGACCCTGGCAGGCAGCTGGAAACAGCTGTGATTTTGGATTTGAGCCATGGAACGATTTACCAACTTTGCAGGAAGAACAAGAAGCCACAAAAGTTTAGATATTATAGTGGAAGTAGTCACAAAGTAGAGGGAAGAATTTTTTATTGCTGTACAGGGGGGTTTTACATTTTGTACATGGGGGTCAGAGGTTTTAAGATGGAGGGGTTTGGGTCTGTCCTGTCATCCCTCTTTCTTCTTCCTTACCTCCATGTTATTGGTGATGTTGGCACTCACAGATTGGTTTAGAGTAGAAAGGCACCATTTAATATAGGTAATAGGCATTGGGGAAAAACTATAAACATTTAACACAAAATGTACCATATAAAAGGTAGCAGCAGCCCTGGGCGGGGAGAGAGAAGAAGCAGTCGGGAGTCAGAGAGGGTGTCAGGGTGTGTGTGCCTCTGCCTGAGCTGCTGAGCAAACCACAGCAGCCCGAGAAGAAAATCTTGCAATAAAATGCCTTGAGACCGAACAACAGAAGACTACTGAGCCTTTCTTTGGAAGCTCGGGTTGGAGGAGAGACTTTCCCACCTCACGGAGACACCCCCGACCATTCCTGCGAACCAGCTCGGAGCTGTGGCTGCTGGGGGTCCCTGACACCGCCACTCCACATCCTGTGCTGTCCACTGCCTCTGGGAAAAGTCACTCTGCCTCCAGGACTTAGAGAGTTTTCTATAAGAGTTTAAATTAAGTAACTAAGGCCCTTAATTAAAGGGGGGAAAATGCTAATTAGACTCTTCAGAAATCTTTTAGTAATTGAACAGAAGAAATCAATGGAAAAATTTGTAGAGAAGAAAGTAAAGCTGAAGGAGTTGATAATTGAACACCAATTTAGCTAATGGAGAATGAATTAACTTTTCAACACAGACAAGTAATCTAAATTTTCCCATACAAAACTAAGGAAAGGAAACTGAGGCAGACAGTTTATCAAACCACATTATCTTGACTATTTTCTCCTTCTCCAGAGTCTTGTCTGCAGTGACAACATCACCAAAAAAAAACCTTAATCATAACAGTAAACCCTCGCTGGCATCCACACTACCTGATCTAACATGCTGAAATGCAGATGCTGACTCAGTGTGTAAGGACAATCAAATAAAATCTGGAAAGAGGTATAATTCTGGACTCCATCCCTGTTAAATCAAGGGATGGAGACTAAAATAGTCTGATACCAAACCACTTGGATTATTCCTGGAAATAAAACGTTTCTCATTCTCTTTCATGTTGTGTCAGGAAACAGTTTTTATCAACTTTCTCTTTGACAGGCTCAGAAAATCAGCGGGCAGCACTCTTCAAAGGAGAATGTTTTTGGACTGAAAAATCTAATCTATGGAGCAAAACCACTTTCCAGAGCATCTTTATTACCAAAGCACATGGAGAAAATATTTTCAAATATCTTAACCATAAACTAGCAAAAGACAGCAATCAAGAATATAAGTCAAAGAATTCCAAAG